ATATATATATATATAGGGTCTAACTCTGGATACTTCTTCGAAAGACAACACGATATGGTGGACGCCACCTGACCCGAACGGTGGGACAGCATGATGCTCCTGCACGAGGTGACAGCACGATCGCTCGCTCAGCGTCAGTGCGGTTTTCACATTACTGAGCTAGACATCGAGGACATCGTGAGCACGGATCTATGTCGCTTCGAGAGCGCGACTTCACCGGAGGGGCGGTTGATACGAGCCCTGATCCGACTATCTGAAGACCGGTGGACAACACAGCGGCATTGCCTGGCTAGACAACAAACCAACCCTTCGTAAAAAGAACCTTTGCATAGATCTCTAGCCCGAACTTGGCTTCATTAATGGGAGACATATTAAGGCCACACCCTGAATTTCCTAGACCCCTGCACATCAAAGGACAGTATACGTAGATCTCGATCAGAGATAGTCAGTCCCAGAGGATGAACCTAGATAACAGAAGCACCTTAATTATCCCAAATTTAAGCCAGCCGCAGAACCCTCTAAGGGCCCGGCGGGGTTTGTAGATGTGTCGATTGAGGGTTTGTATGGGTCTACACAGTCACCTCATTGAGTTAGTATCTGAACTTCATGCCCTGCCCTGCGCACCTCCTAGGTGGTAACTAACTATGCAAGGCCGAGGGCTAAACAGAGTTCCAGTGAATTCGTGGTACATACCTATATACGTATAGAGACACAACTAAGTAAGGTCTGAACTAGACATATGTAGGTTTGGCATAGGAGTGTGCCATAGAAGGCAGAACTGAGTTGTATTGGGTTTTGCAGAACCGAATGAAAGCCTATCTAGGTATATAGACAAAACTGTTTTGATTCCGAAACCGGTTTGCCGCTGCTTAATATAGACAGTTATATTTAAACCACACAACCTGTAACATCAAAGCAGCTCTTTCTGTATATATATATATATAGCCACTATCCACCCTGTATATGTATACATATATGTATATATACTCATTTATTTACCAAGACAGTCATACATGTAAATATATAGTTGAAAAATATATATATATATATATATATCTTCGTAAATATATATATATATATACGAAGCACCTTATAATGTAAGCTACCCTACATATACATATATATATATATATAAACCCTAAAAACCCTACTGAACCCTATATAAACCCTATTAACCCCAAACCCCTATATATATATATAACCCCAAACCCTATATATATATATATATATTCCTTATTCCTTAACTAAGCTGGGCTCTCTGGGAAGAGCTTTGGTGATCTCCAGAAGGCTTCAGCTTTTCCTGAAGTGTTTATAAGGTTATGGGGGCATGTACAGTAGAAGAATCCGCTAGGGTTTGTAGGGTTATTATAAGGCTTTATATAGGATTTATAGGGTCTCTTTGGCATCTACCCCATACACGCCTGTAACCCCTCACAAGCTCTCTTTCTGGACTAAGCTAACTGAATCTATCTATGTACATCAACATGTAAGCCTCTTGCCCTGTCGAGGACACTTTGGCTGGGAGCTGTCTGCGAAGTCAGCCGGTGTCGCAGGAGGCTATCGTAGGCGTGGGTCTTTGGGAAGGGTGGTTTCCTAAAAGCCTCTAATCAAACAGTATATAGAGTTTGGGCTTATACGCCAGGCCTCGAAATGTGGTCGAAATAACCTCGAGGAGGGTCTATAGGCAAGTCTACATAGGGTTCAGGTCAGCTGAAAGTGGAGGCTAATATTGGTCTGGATGACTAAATAGTTAAATAGTTTCTTGTTATGGTTGGGTGAGAAGCTTGGCTAACCTGACCATCTGTCACCTCGCCATGCAGAGTTTGTACATAACCCTATACCAGCACCCTAGTTATATATATATACAGGGTTTATATGGGGTTGTATATATATATATATATCTGCATGGGCTTGTAGGGTGTATATAGTCTCTCAATACCAAAACAAACATATATGCATATATGTGCACGGCTCGAGGGTTTAATAAGGTTTGTTTTAATTGGGATTGCCGGTAGCTACCATATGGGGACCCTGATCTCGAAACTGCATAGGCCCCGACCGAGGCAACCACTATGTAGCTGTGACATGGGGAGGATTTTGGCTTGTGAATGAATTACTAACGGGTCTACACCGACACAGAGTCACCAACACACACACACACACACATATATATATATATGTATATGTATATGTACAGGGATACACATAGATACGAACATTGTTATGTGTATAGATGTATACTTCTATATACATATATACATATACATACACATACATACACATACATACATACATACATACATACATACATACATACATAGATAGATAGATATGTGTATGTCAGATATACGTACAACAGGGCTATTGTGATAAGTGATCCAAGAGGATGCTACAGGGCTTTTGGAAGTTCTTCACAGGATTCCTCATGGAGCTCCATGCAGGCATACGTTCTTAAGTTGGGTTGCATAGCAAACCTGAATGAGCCATCTATGCTAGTGCTGACCCAATTAAAAGGAATCTGCAGCTGGGTCTCTGTGAACTTCACCGGCTTGTCACGAAACAGTTCCGGAAGCAGTTGGACGAAGTGGCGCGCATAGCAGAATGTATACTCCCTGGGATGCACAGAGTTTTCAGATGGCAGGAAAGGGTCTGCTTCACAGGGGCCACAGGAAAGTTGCTTCAACGTACACATTCAGGAACTACTGACTAGTTAAGCTTCGAGATAAAGTCCGGAAAAGGGGCTGGGTCTCCTTGAGATGCACATTGCCAGTCCAGGTTTGCTTTCCATCTTTGTCCTGACGTACTACTGTAGAAACCGTAGTGAGTCTTTCTTCGGGAGTCATGCACCCCAAGTCCAGCCGCTGGATTAGGTCCGATGTAGACCATAACCACGTCCGCTTCCAGGTGAAGGAGCCGAACTTCCGCATCCAAATCGAAACTTTGTGCGTCTTGGCTGTGAAGTCATTCAGCTAGAAAACCCCATGATACATGTCGTTTCCAAACAGACACAAACTCATTCATACCAGTCATAACACAGAAGTGGCACCGTGACACCCAGGGCCAACAATCGACGCAGCAGTTGTACGTAGCGTGCATGTAGCACTACCAAAGAACCCTGTGGGTTCTCCAGCACATAATTACCACCAGCTGCGATGACCAAGTACATCAGGATCGTGCTCCTGGGCGCTCTCACATGCATAGATCTGCACGAGGCTTCCTATGCTTGCCTAGGAACTCTCTGCTGAAGCACTCTACCTATATATGGATCATTCGAGATCTGTCCTTGCCATCATCTTGTTACCCTTGCGAACACTGACGACGTTTTCATCACCATGGGGACATAGGTAGCACCGTTTGGAGGTGCCTTTGTTGACTGGCACCCAAGTTGAGCACACTACTCCAAAGGCTGCCACGAGCTCGTCCAGCTTAGAACGCAATATCAATGAGATTGCTAGCCTCAGTGGAGAACTCAATCCGAAGGGCACAGTAACTACGTTTGCAGGCAAGCTTTTTAAGAGCCACAATTTAGTTGGAGTAATGCAAATCAAGACTCACCATTCCGGCATTGGAATTCAGGTCCATTGCTGATCGCTTGCCCCGTTTGGCCCCACGCTTGTCCCCATAGATCTTGTCATAGGCTGCTACTTTGAACCCAGCCCCCTCAGCCACAAGAGACAACCGGGCCTTTCCGGAGAAGAAATCCAAGAACTGGATTCCAGCGTCAGGGGAGATGTTCAGCCACCAGACAAGCAAGACCAAGAAGATCAACACCTGATATTAGACAGGGAGAGAGAGGAGACAGAGAGAGAGAGAGAGAGAGAGACGTGATGGTATGGGATATGCGCACGTATGTACATGTGTGCTAGTGGTTATCAGCAGCGAGTCCATCCCACTCCTGGCTGCATGAACATACTATGTTATTTTGAAATATGGACATGTCGATCCAGACACACAGGCAGGTCAATTTGCATCGGTAAACAGTAGCTAGACAGGACATGTGAACGTAGCCCTCATCAACAAGCACGAGCAGAACAATGAAAAGATGCTACAACAGCAACAGCAACAGCCAACGACGGTAGTTGCCGGGATGAGCACTGCAACCCAGACTATGTGCAGACACAAACCTAGCACACGTATACTGAATCCCTATCCATGAACCATTAATACATCACTCCAGGCATTGAAACCCACGAAACCCTGTATAGACTATATAGTGCATGGCCCTCATTTGATCGCATGTGCAGCTTCCCGACAACACGCATGCCCATGGAACTGTGCATTGCACTGTGTTGAAGACTTCTTACATACATGCACATTGCATGCAGAGACACATGTACAGACATGATTACAAGTATAATGCACACGAGACCCATGTATCTAACTGGCTGGACAGCCACGGCACCTTTGGCGCTCCTAGGAAGAAGAGCCGGCGAACGAAAACATCAAAGTCTTCTGGGGACATGGCTGCAAGAACTCGGCAACGAGCTTCACAAAGAGTTCTGATTGGAGCTTGCTACGTACTGGCTTCAGTAGGTGGGTTCAATTGGGGGCTTGTAAATGTTTGCAGACAGACTTGGAAGTCAGTCAGCAGCTACGGAATAACGGACCAATATGAGTTAGGGTATTTATTGCGTAGCATGGACTCTTCTGCATCTCTGACAACCAAGCAAGTTCCCCAGACTTCAGCCAGGAGAGCACCGAGGGTCTGCGCACAGTGTTCTTGAGTTGCAAAGTTGGCAAGCAGCTCATAGAGGGTTCTATGGGGCTTAAAAATGTCTTGTGTGTGTATATATATATATATTATAGAAAATTTTTTAATTGGGTTTTTCCACATGTAGTAAAAGGGGGTGTGTGGGTGTACAGAGGCAGTCTAGGAACAAGCGCAGAGGTTTAAACTCTTGATTAAGCTTGTGTAGGGGACGAGCAAGCACCGTTGTTTTGGGCTGCCGGGCTTGTTTTCTCGAACTCCTATACATTGAGATTATGTATCTATATATATATATATAGGGTTATTATATATATATATAGAGAGAGAGAGGGTTTGCATATATATATATATATAGGGTGTACAGGGTTTATACGGGTTTATAGATAAATAGATAGATAGATAAATATATATATATATATATGTATGTGGGGGGTGTTATGCTTTAGATTCATAGGGCTTTGTGGCTTAGAGTTTACGGTTTTAATTGGGGTTCAGAAGTTGGGGCTTCGGGTTAAAAGAGTTTTGTGAGGTCTGCATGGGGCTCCAGCGAAGGCTTAAT